CTCAGGAAGTCCACAGGAAAAAGAAAGGGGGGAAAGCCTTGGATCTACTGCCACCAACTCTTTTTCCCATCCTAAGGTCCATAAGAAGAAAGTAGTACAAAGCAAGAGCAATAAACTTACAATGGAAACTCAATTGCAACTTTGGCTCTACAGTTATTACTGTTCAACTGTAGCAAATGAAATTATTAACTTGCCATTCAAAAAGAATCACCCTAGAACTGATTTCAGAAACAGAACTATTTTTCTAAAAAAAAAAAAAAAATAAAGTGTTGAATTAAAAATTAAAGGACACTTTCTTTTTAAAATCCTTGGATGGCGAGTGCTGTGGATCATCAAAGTATCATGTCATGTATTTATCACATCACTGCTGTTGTACAAAGGCACGCATCTAGAGATCTCTCCATGCGGCAATGAAGTGCAGCCTCTCAATGGGGTGAGGGAGCAGCTAGGCAGAAAACCGGCAGATAGTTGAAGTGGGTAGGGAAGGCAGAGCTGGGGAAGTGAGGTTTTCAGCCGGAGGCACTGAGGCAGTCCTTCTCCTGCTCTATGAAAAGTGCCAGCAAGAAGCTTTCCGCGGCCATGCTGCAATAGAGATGTTTGCCAGACTTGTTTAACTAGCTCGCAACCTCTGAACCCGTGGTGAAAGGGCAGAGCCGTGAAGCCGGGCTGTGCTCCGTCACATGGCTTGGGTGTTTGGGACAAAACAGGAAGCAAATGCAGGTTCCTGAGTTCAGCCCGCTCAGACGGAGTGAGTCAGGGGAGCAGCGCTGGTGCGAGAAGGGCTGTCTGCTCACTGAAGACTTCGTAAGTTTGACTCGCTTGTAACCATTTCTCTGCACCCCCTGCGCGGTGCCGGCGCCGGAGCAGCTGCAGCTGCAGTGCCCGGGCCTGGCCAGGAGCCGAGCCGAGCCGGGCGCGCCTGGACGGGGGGTCAGCACCGCAGCCGCGCGGCGACTCCTCTCGCTCCTCCTGCTCCGGCGTTTCCTTCTGCTTCGCTTCCCTTCAGCCCTTTGTGTCTCGGGCTGTGGGGAACCTCCTCCCTGCCCCGGGGCTGAGCGCACAGAGCAGGGCAGGAGACACGTAGCTGCCGGGGAAGAGCTCGCTTCCCTCCGCGCTTGCAGAGGCGGAAGTGTCTGGGGACGGAGGGAGGCAGGGAACTGGGCGCTGGGGGCACCGGGGAGGCGGAGGTCCGGCTGCCCGGGGTGAGTGGAGCAGCTCTTCTCTCGGCGGCTCCCGATGCGGGGACACGAGGGGAAGGGGAGCTTGTTCCCTGCCCCGTCCGACGGGCCGAGCGGGGGGTCCCTCGGACGACAGGAGAGTTGAACCGGGCTCCGTTTCTGCTGGGAAGTTGTGAATGGCAGGAGACTTCTCCACTTCGGGGAAGTTGTAGCACAAGAAACAGCCGGGGGAAAACTGGCATCGCTGCTTTCCGGGCCTCAACGGTGCGGTCCCCTTGGGATGCCTTGACTGAGTCAAGGAGATATTTAATTTTGTTTTTCAAGGAGCGGGTGGTGGGGTCTCTCTGCCTTGTGGCAGCGTTGAAGGTGCGGGTGGTGGGGTCTCTCTGCCTTGTGGCAGGGCTGAAGGGGCCCGGGTCCTGGAGGCTTTCAGTGTATTTCTGACTCAGGAATGACAAACCCTCTCTGTCTTGTTGACAAGACATTACTTCAGCAGTTGCTCCCACTCTGAAGGTGATCTGAGGATGAGCTACACTTGAAATGTTTTTGTTTTAATTTTGAAAAAACCCAGTGGATGAAACCGAAAAGATGATCAGGAAAAAAAAATGCAGAGAAGAGTTTGCTTCTGGATAGTGCCAATATTCTGATGTAAAACTACGAAAATGTGTGTGCTTCACTTTTCAGAAAGCTTTGGGGGTGTTGCAGGCAGGACCGCTTATGGTGTGCAACTTCCCTGTTGTTGGGATCCTGGCAGAATTAGTAGGTATCTGGAGAGAGAAATGAAGTCTTCTGCTTACTCCATGGTATCCTGCAGAGCGGTTGACTGACTAGCGGCTCTCTTCATGGAGCTGTGCACCACAGCATGAGTGGGAGGTGTGTGTGGGGAGAGACTACAGACACAGGCCCAAGCGTTTTGTTCTCTTTTCTGTCATTTTTAATGTAGTCACCATCATTGTGGTATCTGAAAACCTCCCACTGCTTCATCAAAAATGTGACTGACTTGATTTGGTACTTACAGCCATTTTTCATTGCTGTACATTATCATACTATTGTGCTATTCCATAGCACAATTGAACTAAATTATAATATCTCCATATAAAACACAGCTGTGCATAAGAAGTGTTAAGGCCACAGTGGTGCCTTAAGGTTGTCACTTGACTTTAATTTTACCTCCTCCCGCATATGTGTTTTCAATAGAGTATTTAATTACACAATCGTGTAATTCTAATATTATAAAAGCCTAAGCATGTCTGTCTGTCTGTTTGTCCATAACGCTTTATTCACGCTCTGATAGGCTGACGGAAGCAGCCAATCAGAGTGCTCCAAGTGTGGGGGAGCACCGCCATGATTCCAAAGCTGCGCTGAGGACTGCTGGCCTCGGCTCCCCCACCCCCGTCCTGCAAGAGGCAGAACAGTGGCAGCATGGGGCATTAGGTGGCAGTGCTCCATCCCAGCCCACCCCCCCACCCCAACCACCCATCATTGTTGACGGGCAAATGGCTAGTATTTGTATAAAGTTTCAAAAGTGTACTTGCTTGTGCGATTGGAAAATGCAATGTAACTGTAGATGCATGCACCGTTTTGTATTACTACATTAGTTTTATTGTACTGTAGTTAGAAAAGAGCATAAACTCCTCAGTTTGGAAGAGCAGTGTGTATGTTTGCTCTGACTCAGGGGTGAGCAAAGTCCAGCCCATGGGCCAGATCAGACCCATGGCAGACTCCATTTTGAAGCAGCCCCTGCCCATGTTGCTGCAACAGGTTTCCATGAACACCCCAGCAGTGGTGGGGCTGTGACACTATGGGACTAGGGTTTTTTTGGAGATCAGCTGCAGCAGTGCTGGCAAGTTGTGTGACTCGGCGGGGAGCTGCTCCTGGGCTGGGATCTTGTGGCAGTGACAGCATGGTCCAGAGCCAGGGCAGAGCTGCCATATGCTGCCTGCACGCTCTGGCTCCGACCATGCTGTCACTGCCGCAAGATCCCAGCTCCAGCCCTGCAGCAGCTCCCTGCGCAGCCACACGCCCTGCCAGCACTGCTGGGGCCAGTCCCTATGGAAACCCTGACCCTGTGCTGTTACAGCCCAGCTGCTGCTGGGGCCCCCATGGAAACCATCTGCAGTGACGTGGGCAGGCCTGCTGGGAAATGGAGTTCAGCCACCAGTGTATCTGCCATTTTGCCCACCCCTGTTCTAACTCCTGGAAGGCCCCATGATTCATAGATGTTAGGGTCGCAAGGGACCTCAATAGATCATCGAGTCCGACCGCCTGCATAGCCATGCTCTAAAGACTTGCTTTCTGTGTGTGACTTTGCCCTTCAACTCCCCCCCCCGGGTTATTTTAATGGAACAGGATTCTCCTTTTGGATAACAACTCTTTTATGTGGGAAGGTTTAGTAGCCCTTCTCAGTCATTCACTGTCACCAGGGGAGAATTAGTAGTCCCCTTCTAGCAGTAGATATTGGTATTGATGAAGTGATATTTCAGAGTGCTGGGATTCCTGGTAGTGGTGATTCAGAGAGAAGTTGATAGCAAAGACTGGGAAATATTGAACTGAATTACTCTCAAACGTTATTGCTTTAATGGGAATCTTTAAAAAAAAAAAACCAAACAAACCCCAATGATTACATTTTGAAATGGCATATTTTTATATAGTGTGAGAATATGAGATTTAGGTTCATAGAAATGTCAACAGATCTTCTGTCCTACATGATTATATGTTCTGTTTCATGTGTAAATAAAAGGAGACAGCTGTTCAGCTGGTGTAAATAAGTGGAGGCTTTATGATTCCACTCTAGGTGAGCATTTTGTGTTTGATACTTTGTACTAAATGGTGCATCAGAGCTCTATGTAACATCTTGAAACATTGTTTGATTGTCTCATGGAGGCTTAGACGTACTTGACAGTCCAACTTAAAGAGGGTTGGTTGGCTAATGCTGCTTTGAGAATCTTAACTCGTTATTTCCTTTAAGTACCCTTACCATATTGTGCATCTCTATGGTAAATGTGCTGGCCTTTCCATTATTTTATAGAGCATTTAGTTACCGTATTTGCTAAAATAGATATGTCCCTGATTATAAGATGACCCCCCAATAATTAGATTCTGTATATGGAAAAATTATAAATTTGAATTTTCCATATATAGAATCTAATTATTGGAGGTTTGCTTGAATTTGTCCCCTTCCCACTGCCATAGCAGGGAAAATAAATCTGGGGGGGAGGTCCGGTAGCCCCCTTAACTATAAGTCAATGGCCAAGATGCTGGCTTTGAGGATGAGGAAAAACCTCCAGAAGATAATACATGAAGACCAAGTATGCACAGTACCAGGTAAAAGGATCTCCAAAGCAATCAGAGTGCTCAGAGATGCACTGTCCTAGATATGAGAGAGGAAAACAAACACAGCTATAGCAAACCTAGATTTAGAAAAAGCATATGACAGAGTTGATCATGATTACATATTTGAGATGCTTGGAAAAATGGGTTTCCCAGAGAAATGTATATGTTGAATAAAATTATTGTATAGAGAAGTGGATAGTCAAGTCCAAATTAATGGACACCTAAATGGCCTTCAAAATCCACATAGGGGTGAGACAAGGGTGTCCCCTGTCACCACTACTATTTGTGTGGGGCATGTCACCATTAGCACAAAAAATTAGAAAAGACAAGATCATAAGCAGAGTAAATATACCAGGAGGGAGAAAGGTAACATGGATGATATAAATGTAGTGGCTAGAAACAGATTTTCAGTGGAAATGGTGCTAAAGCATACACCAAAGTATGGAGAAGTGATGGGGGCTAAACTAAATAGATCAAAAAGCACCATGAGTGGGGAACTGAAGGGACTTGAAGAAGTTGGGCCTTCAAATAAGAGAGAGAAATCAGAGTGCTAGGGATTTCAATGGATGCTGAGGAGAAAGGTAATATAGCATGGGAAAGGATGATGGCAAGGCTATGGCAAATACTTTGGTTATGGTCTGGAAGGACACAGTCCTTTGCCAGAAAAGTGGCATCATTTAAGGCTGTGTTACAGACAATTATTCTATATATGGAATTTGTATTCCTAGTAACATGGCAGCAGACAGCAAAAGTACAGGGGGAAATGTGTGTTCTTCTGGAATGCCAGAAGAGAGAGGTTGGCTAGAGCTGAACTGTACAAAGCAAGAGAGATTTGGGGGGGGTAACGGACAGATGGGGACTGTTGGATTGGGGTTGTTTGTCCATGCAAAATATGTTAGTGCAATATTCAAGGCAGAAACGGAAGGAGAGGGGAAAGCAGCACATGTCACCTGACTTCACCCAGCTACAATTCTGAGGAAATGGGGAGTATATTAGACCTCTTTGAAGAGTCCATGGGCATGGTAGCCAGTGATTCATTAGGTCAGGATGGAAGGATTCGTGCAGAGGTATAAAATAGGGAAGATAGGGCTGGAGATCCTGAAGGATCATAAGAAATTGATGAAAGTGGTAAGGGAGAGAGACAGGATGGTGCTGGTGCGAAACTTCACAGAAGAACAAGTGAAGAAGGTGTGGGGAGTAGTGGCAGGTAAACCACTAAAAAGGGAACATGCTGACCTAGAATGGATAGTTGTAAGAAGCGTCTTGCTGGTGAGAGAAGTACAACACGGATAG